CCTCAGCCGCCCCGCGCCCCGGTGCCGCCCGCCCGCATGGCAGAGCCCGGCACCGCCGCCTCCGCCCGCTGCCCGCGGCGGCCACAGCGCGGCGGGGCGGGGACAGCGGGGCGGGAGCGAGCGGGCCGGGGATGCGGGCGGGGCCGGGAGCGGGGCCGGGAGAGGGGCCGGGAGATGCGGGCGGGGCCGGGAGCGGGGCCGGGGATGCGGGCGGTGGGGCGGAGTGGGACCGGGAGCGGGGCCGGGGATGCGGGATGCGGACAACGGGGTGGAGCAGGCTGGGGCCGGGAGCCGGGGGATACGGACAGCAGGGTGGAGCGGGACCGGGGCCGTGAGCGGGGCGTGCCGGGATGCACCTCCCGGCTCCGCCCGCATCCCCCGGGCACGGAGCTGAGGCCGGGCTGTGCCGAGGGCGGCGCTCCGGGCCGGGGCCGGGGGGAGCCGTGCGGGCCCCGCAGCTCCCCGCGCTGAGCCCCGCCCGGCCCGGTGTCCCCCCCTGCCCGGTGTCCCCCCCGGCCCGGTGTCCCGGCCCTGCCCGGTGTCCCCCCCGGCCCGGTGTCCCGGCCCTGCCCGGTGTCCCGGCCCTGCCCGGTGTCCCCCCCTGCCCCGTGTCCCCCCCGGCCCGGTGTCCGGCCCTGCACCGCTCCGCTGTGTGACTCCCGGGGGCCCGGAGCTCCCCGCCGCAGCCCAGCCTTGCCCCGGCTCTGTGCGCGCACACCGCTCCTCTCGCGCCGGGCCCCAGGGCTCGCTCCCGCTATCGGCAGCCGCTAGAAGCCGATCCCCCTTGTCCTGTCACTGCAGGCACTTGTAAACAGTGTCTCTCCATCCTTCTCCTAGGCCCCTCCAGGCACCGAAACGGCACCATAAGGTCGCTACAAAGCTTTTTATTTTCCATGCTGGCCAATCCCAGCTCTCTCAGCCTTTCCTCATGGGACGGGTGCTCCGTCCCTCAAACCCTCTCCATGGCCTCCTCTGCACTTGCTCCAAAAGGCCGATGTGCTGGTGTCCCCAGGGCTGGAGGCTGCAGGTGTGGTCTCCCCTGAGCGGGGCAGAATCCTCCCCTCTCCTGCTGCCCACGCTGGGGGATCAGCCCAGCACAGGGGAGCTTCTGGTTCCTGAGCTGGGGCATGGCCAGCCCTCACCCACCAGCACCCCAGGCTTTTCTCCAGGGCTGCTCTCGACTTGCTCATCCCCCAGCCTGCACTGATCCCCAGTCCGGGCACAGCACCTGGTCTTGCTAAAGCTCATGAGAATGTTGAGCTGGAACATGCTCCTGACTTGGGATTTCGTGGCTTGCTGAACTGGAATGTCTCGTCAATGGCTGGTGAAAAGCATCTCTCAGAAATAACTCAGTGCCAGCAGACCACGTCACAAACGTCATAGCAAGAGAGCCCTTGAGCCAGTAGACCACAGCTGTTACACCAGCAGTACTTTCATGGTTCCTGAGATGCTGTTTCCCAAGTTTTCATTTTAAATTGATGCTGTTTTCTTTCCCAGCATGTTTTGAAATGGATACGTCAGTTATTGTGCTCCTCGCAGAATGTGTGCGAGCAGGCAGTCATTATTTCAAAGAGCCTGGAAGTTGTAGAAGGATTACAATGGAAGGGTATCATTTAAGAATAGTTTTCCAAAGGCAAAGAATAGTTCTCAAAGAATACATCTTTGAAAAATCAGAAAGAATTTGCTCTCAAATAAAAAGAACACTTTTATACAAGACAGTAATTTTAACTTTGTTTAGGTATAGGTTGGTGTTTAAATACCCTGTGAATCTCTGAGCTATCATCTTTCCTCCTTCCTTTCTCCTGCCTTTACATTCTGTAGGAAAAGTATGAAAGCTGCCATCAAACAGCTTCAGTCAGTTGTCATTTCCTTCTCATTCTCCACTAATATTTGGACAATGAAATCCAGAGCACAGAGTCAAAGTCTTTTCCCAATAAATTTTCAAGATGCAGTATAGGAAAAGGATTGGGACATAAGGATGTGTTTGTCCTCATGCCAGAGAAAGGTTTAATTCCACTCCATCTCCTAATTCCTTTCCCAGTGCAGAGGCAGACAGTGCAGCACGGGGTTTGTTCAATTTATTCTTCATTGAGCAGCATATTAAGTGCTTTTACCTTCCTAAACAGGTGTTGAATAGAAGACAAATTAAAGATATTGAAAGTTTTCTGTTGCTTGTTTGGTTTTTTTTTAGTGCTCCATTACAACAGAATTATATTCATTTTAATTGTATTCATTTCTACTTCAAGTGAAAAGTGGCTCCCTTTCTGTTCACTGGGCACTCGTGTCTGACACTGTTTTTAAACCCAGTGAGGAACATGCAGTGAAAGATGTCGGTCCCTCAGCAACACTGGCATGTCGGGAGTCTCAGCACAGGTCACACACCCCAGTGGCACAGCTCCAGTCACCTGAGGAAAATGACAAGTCATAATTAATGCCAGTTCTGCAGGAGGGAAAAAGGAAAATCCAAAACCTGCTCTACAGTGGTCCAGTGTAGGGAAGCGAAATGGAGAGAAAATTCTGCCTTCTTACATATCCTGGTCTCCAGGGAAACAGAGAACCACTTTGTGTTTGAAATGAGGGAGTTTAAATAAAAGCTGACTTTCCCAGTAATTTATTCCTCAAACATCTTTGGCTGTAGCTCTGACTGCACCTCTAAGGGGCAGACGTGCAGTTTGGGTGGCCAAAGGGGTCACTGGCAACAGGCGGTCCTTGAGAACACTGACACTTCATTACTCCTTTTTTTCAGTTTCTCCTCTTTGTTCTCCAGTCTTGTTTTAGTGGTTTCTATTTTATGAAGAGACAATCAAGCATTTCACCAGTGGAAGGGCTGGGGATCCTCTGTGTGTGTCTGTCAGTCGTGGCAGCTGCGAGCACACAGCAGGTTGGATGGTTTGCTTAGATCACAAAAGACAAATAAGCTGCGAGAAGGTTCTGCTCCTCCCAGGGAAAGCAGGAGAAAACCTCAGGGAAAGCAGAGCTGCTGCGGTGGGCAGAGAGCAGCGCCCAGCCCGGCTGCCCGAGGGCACTGCCCGTGCCAGGTGTGCTGGGAGCAGCCCTGCAGGGGCTCCAGGCTGTGATCCTGGGGCTGGGGGGTTCTGGGGGGTTCTGGGAGGTGCTGGAAGGTTCTGGAAGGTGCTGGAAGGTGCTGGAAGGTGCTGGAAGGCGCTGGCCAGGGCAGTGTGGCTGCTGAGCTGGCACTGGGGCAGCCCTGCAGGGGCTCCAGGCTGTGATCCTGGTGCTGGGAGGTGCTGGGGGGTTCTGGAAGGTTCTGGAAGGTTCTGGAAGGTGCTGGGAGGTGCTGGGAGGTGCTGGGGGGGTTCTGGAAGGTTTGGAAGGTTCTGGAAGGTGCTGGGAGGTTCTGGAAGGTTCTGGAAGGTTCTGGAAGGTTCTGGAAGGTGCTGGAAGGTGTGGAAGGTGCTGGGAGGTTCTGGAAGGTTCTGGAAGGTGCTGGAAGGTGCTGGAAGGTGCTGGGAGGTGCTGGGGGGTTCTGGAAGGCGCTGGAAGGTGCTGGAAGGTGCTGGAAGGTGCTGGCCAGGCCAGTGTGGCCGCTGAGCTGGCGCTGGGGCAGCCCTGCAGGGCAGCTGCACCCAGAGCTTCACCTGGCTCAGGGCACAGCCTGGCAAAGGGCACTGCCACACCAGGGCCTTGGGGAGAGTTCATCTCTGCCCATCCACTGTACTGATGTGTGTTCACACATTCCAAGAGATGAGTTTTCTTTCACTTCATGCCATGAAATCATCTCCAGTCTTACAGAAACGCATATGCTGAGCCAAAGTCACTCCCTGTCCAGTCAGAACCATCATCAAAATCCACTGAGATTCAGTGGGCAAAGCCAATCTGCGTTCATTTAACTGGGAGACACGATAAAGCCAAAGAAATTCTTTATTAAATTCACGGATTTTAGTTTTAACCAAAGTATTTGTATCAGTTATGATTTCATCCCACTTTTCTCAAATGCCTCAGCTCTGCAAGTGAATGAATCTTTCTTTGAGGAATGACTGATCGTTCTCATTCCCGAGCATCTTGAGCCGAGTATTTTATATCGTGTCAAAATTAGTACGAGGGAAACTGAAGATAATATTTAAACTTCTACTGTTAATCTCACATTTCCACTAAGCAGCACGGATGCTGGAGTTTACCTTGTTATGCTGTACCCTACTGGGAGCTATTACAGTTCCCATTCTGTCGTGTTTCTGGTGGCACAAAATGATTACAATTTTCTCCTTTCAGCTCTGTGAATCAGGATCAGGTTCCCTGGTATCAGTGAAGTTATCCTGAATAAAACCAGTGTAAATAGAAATAGAACTGCCTGAGGCAGCATTATGTTCTTCATGGTTATCTGGTCTCAGGGAGCTGATGAAGCGGTTTCTAAACAAAAATACCACCAATTACCACAAAACTGCAAAGGAGGCAAATATTGTGAGAAACTCCTAATTTGGGCATAGAAACAAGGGGGGCAAGACACCACCATATTAAATTCCTTAAAAAGGCCTATCCTGAATATAATGGCTCTAATTGCAACATGTTTAAGATGATGAAAGGAATATTACTGTGATTCCCAGAATTCACATGCCTTCTTCATCGAGAAGAAAGCCTACAGAGGAAAGCCTATGTTTATTTTTAAAAGCCCCTCTAACAGAACACATAATTCTTTCAATAAACATTACATAAGAGGGAAATTTCACATATTTTCCTATCATTAGTGCCTCTGTAAATACTGCCAATTCTATTTTTAAAGATGCTAATAGTAATGACTCCGAGCCAGCTGTTCAAAGTGTTTTACCAGCACCACGGTTAACTAATAAATTGTGTTAAAGACAGGGGCACTCAGTGGATATGGAATTGGCTGGATGGTCTCACCCCAGGAGCTGTGGTCAAGGCCCCTGTGCCCAGCGAGGATGGACACCCCCAGCGAGGATGGACACCCCCAGTA